GGTGGAAATTGCTGTTTCTGGTGAGGAAAACAGAACCAAATTAAGATTGTCTTGGCTGAAGAAATTAATAAGAAGAGAAATTACCTCGATAGGAGAGAGGTGGGCATTAAAGAACAGGTCAGAAGTCGGATACTCCTCGTTAAGCTTAAGACAGATCCCGGAATCAGCCAAACACGCCCTTATATTCCCCCAGTTATCAGAGCTAGTAATATGATTCCTGAGCCAAGAAGAGAAGCCCTCAAGCCTGTACTCCTGATATCCCTTTCCGGGCACATCATAGGCGCCGCTGGGACGGGCGACAACAAAAGCTAATATGAGGAAGACCAGGAGGAGTACTATGAGGATGGCCATGCATACGAGGTAAAGCCCGAGGAGGCCTTCTTTTTTCCAGTAGGCACCCACGAAGCCGGTTAAAGAAACCAAGAGAACAGCTATTCCCAAGAAGACAACCGGCCAGCGGAGCCAGTGGATGCACTCGTTGTCCGGTTTAGAAGCCAGCCATATTCCGGAGGCTATGATGGGAATAGAGCACATGAGTGCGAGGAAGTTGAGGAAGGCTGTAATATTGTTGCTTACTGCCATGATTATGGCTGGGGATGAGCTAGCGAGCAGCTGAGGAGATTTGAGTTGGTGGGTTTTGAAGAAGCTTATAGTTTACTGTGTGGAAAGTTGTTAGAAGCTGGGAATTTAATCTGGGAATATGAGGTGCTGAGGAAGGGAAGTGAATTAGTGAAGCGAGTGGGGGGATGAAGTGATGGGTCTGAGTTGTTGTTTTGAAGTTTCGCAGCTACTTCGCTTTCTTGGTGTGAAAACTGGAAACTACTTGTAGTAAATCTTGTTTGGGCGGTATGGTGTACATATAGGCGGCACAGGTGTGTCGTTTTGCTGTCACATATGCCGGGAAGATAAATGGGCGTCTAGTCTTTGCAAGATCAAAAACTTGAGCGATGGACAGATGGTGAACAAAGAAAACCAAGATTTGAAATAGGAGAGTGATATATTAAAGAAGTGGGAATGGCCAAAAGGGTCATTAAATTATTAAATATGACACGGCTCAGTCATTAATCTTTTCTTATTGCTACAAAGGTTACTAAATTGACAAAAGAGATTCTTCATTTTGTCAAATTGTAGTAGTAAAACAATTGATAAACCATTAAAATTCAACCATCTTTTTGGCAAAATGGCCTTTACCAATAGGATTTTTTTTTGGTAAAATGATTTTGCTGGCCCCTTTTTTGTCAGTTTAGTGGCCTTTGTGGTAAAAAAAAATTTTTGGGTGATTAATTCATGTCATACTTAATAGTTTAGTGACCTTTTTGGATATTCACTCGTTAGAGAGATATCCAAAATCTTAAACTCCATCCTAAGAAACTCATAGGAAAGCTATTACCTTTGATGAGTAGTTACTAAACTTCAGTTTAAACGTTGTGAAGACTTAAAAGATTCAGTGCTCCGATGGAAAATGATAAGGTAAAAACATTTACAATACTAGTTTTTCAATGCATAATTCTATCCTTGAATAGGTTCCAGGATGAGGGGACTAATTCATAAATAACACAAAGTGCGTACATATTTCTTTGGGATAATTTCATAAACCTCCCCTGAGGTTTTATGAAATATCACCTAGCTCCCTTGAGGTTTTCAAAATTTCACTTAACACCCCTTGAATTGACATTTTGGTAACATTGGAAGCCCTTCTAACCAAAAGTAATATTAAAAAATTCATATTTGAGGAGAGAGGTTATTTTAGTGCCTTTAATACCCTTAAACTATAAAAAAAAAATAGACATTTTACAAACCAAGAAAAAAAAGTACTAAATCAAAACCATCTCAAAAGAGAGGGGATGAAAATTGGTAAGACGTTATATTACAGTCAATAGTCACTTCTACAGTAGGAAGAGATAGTAAAAACAAATATTATTTTTTAAACCATTTTTATAAATGGAACCCTTCATAGTGTTGAAGGTAATTAGCACGTAAAATCATATATTTGAGCAAAAAAAAAACTTAGTAATAGATGAAATACAACTTCAATATCATACAAAAATTTACTCAAAATAGATAGACTTTTTTTTTATGGGTGTGAAATATGAAAATTTTATTATAGAAAAAAGTCATAATTTGAAAAACTGTTGTCCGGAGTTTCAATTACTTTATTTCTCTTTGCGCTCTACATGAATAGGAATAAATAAAGTTGTGAAACACCAAAAAAGGGAAAAAATAAAAAAAAACTTGCAACTATTCTTCTCCAAATGCGTTGAATATTTCATTGATTAAACCCTATATTTCATTGATATTTACAATTCAATTATACAAACATATATATATATATGTATGTATGTATGTATGTTTGTATAGACATTGTTAAAGAAAAATAGGAAATTTAGGGAAAAAAATAAATTTAGAAAATTTATATATGAGGGTATTATTGGCAATTTATCACCTTTGATATTAGTATATGTCCCTACTATCATTTTCAAGGGCGCTAAGTGAGATTTTAAAAAGTTTAGGAGAGCTAGGTGATATTTCATAAAACCTCAAGGGAGGCTTCTGAAATTATCCCTATTTCTTTTGGCCAAATGCGAAAGATGATTGTAAATTTTAATGAAAAAAGACCTAGTTGCTTGAGGCCCCATTTGAATTGTAAATTTTTTGAAATTTTATAAAGATACATGTGATGCATATAAAGTAAAATGATAATTAAAAAATATGAATTTTCAGGCAAAAACTTGCAATCTAGACGTCAAAATCAGCTGCAAATTTTCGCCAGAAAGTCCTAAGATAACAAATTACGGAGTATTACACAGTACTAGATCGCATGTGCGCGTGAAAGTCAAGACTTTGGTGGCCGTACACTGTACACGCGGGAGGAGAGGTCGTGCTCGTGCCTGCCCCATTTTGGACTGGGAGCATTCAATTCGCTTTAAACAGCCGCAAAGATACGGCAAAGTGCAAACTTCCCACCGGCGAGCACCTACAGCGTCTCCATGACGCGCCACCACACGCGCAGCTACTTTCCCATTAGTTTACTGTACTAGTACATAAAAAAAAGAAAGAGAGAGTTGGCCTTTCCCGATTTTACTGCCACCGTCATGGGGAAAAAAAGAAAAGAAAAGAAAAGAAAGAGTTGGCCTTTCCCGAAACCTCGAAGATGGCAAAGAACTCGCATTACGACATCATGTCACATGTCCCAATATACCTTTGCCACGTTGTTTCCCATTGTGAATGCCGGCACTCCAGTCCAGTCCGCGTAAAGCAATGAAAGAGGGATGATTTTTTTTTTCTTTTTTTTTTTTTTACGGAAACATTTGTTGATGTCAAAATAAGCCGTATAACTTTGAGCAAAGCCTCGTTTTGAGCTTTACAAATGCATTAGGATTCCTCTCTTAACCAAAGCCCAAAGACTTTTCGGCATTAGGATTCCTCGTCTTGTACTAACTTAGTAGAAAAAGAGCAAATCATTATTCTTATATGGAACAAAAGCAATAGAAAAGTAGGAGTGCCAGAATATTCTTTCCCCGACAAATATGAGAGACGTTGCTTTCTGGGTTACCTGCGGATTATTCTTATCTGCCTAGCTGGGTGGCAATTGGGAATTATTCGGTTTGATCCGTCCTCTTTACTTCGAAGTCATACATGTATCCCTATTCCTATATATATATATTTTTTTCCAGCAACAATATATTGTATAACTTACTCTATTCTAATCTAAGGGAAGAGGGAGTCTGAGGAGACTCGTGTTAGGGACTAATGGGTATACAGACTCAACTAGATCAAGAAAATATTACGACACTATTCTTAACTTTTTTTTTTTTTTTTGCTGCAGACTCGTGTCAGGGACTAATGGGTATACAGACTCAACTAGATCAAGAAAATACTACGACACTATTCTTAACTTTTTTTTTTTTTTTTTTTTTGCTGCATGTGAGGTTTAAACCTTCACTTATAGCCCAAGGAGTGCTACTTCCTATTCCTATATCCATGCGACAATTTTTGACAGTGCTACTTTGAAGAGGTACTACGAGTCAGCAGTTGGAAATTATTTTCTTTTTTGTTTTGAATTTTGTTAGTTGAAGACAGATAAGTAATATAGCAATTGTCATATCATATAGTAATAAAGTTTATGAAGTGAAGACTAATAAGTGAATCCCATAGGAAAGGTTAACTAAGGTATTTTAGATGCAAATGAAGAATATAAAGTGAACTTTCTCAAAAAGAAATACTATGATGTAACAATTTGGACGGCTTTAGTTCATTCTTTTTGTCTTTGTTACAATTCGGGCTTTGAATTTGGATTTCTCATAAAGAGTCCATGATCTATTATACCAACATTAGCCAATTGGTCGGAAGTTCAGAACATTTGAGGGTTCCCTTATTCTCGGACTTAGGAGGACAAACTGTAGCTTGTACTGATCTCGTCTGCATGGTTCTAATTTTATTGCATTTTGCAAGTTGGTATAACTATGAAGTAATTATAGACGAAATGACTCTTCCCAGAAATTAGAATATGAATGTGTATTTTTTGTAATTCATATGCTTAATTACGTTTATCACGGGCGCAGACGGTGAGATAAACAGAAGTTGAGCTATCGAGAAATCTCACCCTTATTACACAAAAGAAACATCTTTATCTTTTTCTCTTCCACGAAAAAGAAAATTTTAACTTTCAAATCAATTTTCTTACTATATAAATGTGTTTGGAAAATAGATTATTTGAGATAATTTTTTTAAAAAAAAGTTATAATACTTTTTTGATGTAACATATCTAAAATAAAAAGATAGTTAAAAAATACGCTTACGATGACGATACAAACAAACAAAAATTTGCAAGTAAGCCACTACCTAAACAAACACAATTTGATGTTTCAAATTGGTAACGGTATAAAGTATAAACTATAAACTGAACGCGACCCAATTTGAAAAAAGAAAAGAAAGATAGGTCCAAATTGGGACAAGCCCAAAACAAAAGGGGACTTTTGAAACCAGGACTTCTGGGCTGCAAAGTTCTTCCCGCGCTTTCTTCTGGAGCTGCAGCTCTTGCCCACTCTTTCTGCCTGTTTCCCTCTCCGAAGCGAGACAAAGCCAAGAATGGAGCGGTGGCTTCCAGCATTCGACATTTTCTTGAACTCCCCGTGTCCTGAAACGGAAGCGTCTCTATGGCTGCAACGCTCTTTTGACCCTTCATCAACTGCTCCCCCAATTTCCACGTCTTCTTTCCTTCAATTGCTCACAAATCCTTCCGACGTCATCGTTCTTAACTCTTCCCCCTCTCTACAATCTCCACCACCTCATACCAAAAGGTGCAGTAATTTTTAGTTTAATTATCTTTATATACTGGCCCTCGTGCTTTTTAAAGGTTTTACATCGGGACATGAATTATTTTTTTTTGTTTTTCTTTTTTGGATTGTTGATGAGCAGATTTATGTTTCTACAGACGCTGCCTAGTTTTGTCCAGGCTCGAATTTTGTCATTTCTTGTTTATGACCGCAAGAGATTCTGCAAGAGAGATTTGATTAAATTTGCTAGAAGCATATTGGGTGAGGATCAGGAGCTGGATTTTTGGGTGAAGAAAGGTGCGCACCAATTGCTTGATTTGTTGTCTGGCTCAGGTTTCGAATGGATTTCTAACTTAAACCTGGATTCTGAAGAAGACAATGCCGAGGATGAGTTTAGGGCAATGCCAGATTGGCTTAAAGATGCTGCAAAGAATCGTAATTCTGTACTACTTCCTTGGCTTCCGATATTACCTGATGAGGTCAATTTGAGAAAGCCATTTGGTAATTGTGAAGATGATGAAGATTCGGAAAACGATGCTGAAAAGGAGAAACAAGAGTATGGGGATGACGTAATGCGAGAAGATGTGGTTGGTAGTCAGGAAGACGTTGGTATGAACCCTGAAGTTGAAACGAGGGCTGATTTCCTGAAAAATCAGATCCTCAAGTTTGAGACTACTTCCAAGACCGTGGAAGTGACTAATGAGATTCGCTGGCTTTGTGTGGAAAGTAGAGTGGATTCTTTGGCTATTTTGGAGTTGATTGAACCTTGGAAGGCCGAGGATGAGTTTAGGGCAATGCCAGATTGGCTTAAAGATGCTGCAAAGAATCGTAATTCTGTACTACTTCCTTGGCTTCCGATATTACCTGATGAGGTCAATTTGAGAAAGCCATTTGGTAATTGTGAAGATGATGAAGATTCGGAAAACGATGCTGAAAAGGAGAAACAAGAGTATGGGGATGACGTAATGCGAGAAGATGTGGTTGGTAGTCAGGAAGACGTTGGTATGAACCCTGAAGTTGAAACGAGGGCTGATTTCCTGAAAAATCAGATCCTCAAGTTTGAGACTACTTCCAAGACCGTGGAAGTGACTAATGAGATTCGCTGGCTTTGTGTGGAAAGTAGAGTGGATTCTTTGGCTATTTTGGAGTTGATTGAACCTTGGAAGGCCGATGATGAGACTGCTTCAATTATGATTTCACAGCTTTTAGATGGAGGTGAAGATGAACTGGGTTGGCCAAGTCATGTTCTTTGCTCTATCATTCTTCCCAAAATGTTATCTCTTACAGAGCCTGCTTCTCGTGTGCTGGTCAGTGCCACCATAGAATACTGCAAGATCCATGGAAGGGCTGCTGAGTATGCATTGCTGTTTCCATTGATTCTAAAAGTTGATGGAATAAATAATCCCATGTGTGATGTTCTTACAAGGATAGTTAGAGAGTGCTTGCATCCAGCCCATGCAGCTGCCTTCTTCCAAAAACTTCTATGTGAAGATGCCAAGAATTTCATATGCCTTCCCTGCCACAGATGCCTGATAGCCGGTGAACTGGTATGGACAGAGTCGTTATTTTACTTTATGCAAAATGTTTTAAATCACAATGTTCATTTGACCCAAGATGCTGTTGAGCAACTCGTTCAAGAGGTATACAAGTCGACAAAGCGATTTCCAAGATCTTTGAAGTTAGGCAACTTTTTGTTAAGCTTTGTCAACAAATTTACTCCTCTCTTAAGGCCTCATAAGCGATCGCTGATGGAAGCTGTGGAGCATACTGATACTCTAGTTACCAAATCTTTGATATCTAAATTGGCTAGCTTGTAACTGCACATGGAATATTACCGTTCTGTTGCCAGATATTTTGACACAGGTAGGATTCTGGGCTGGAGTTAATCCTTTTTTTGGAGCATATGAGATGAGGATCGTCATCAGATATTTGAAGATAATGGTTGGTGATGTTATGTTTGTACTCTCACCAGTCTTACTTTTTAAAAAAAGTAAAAATTGTTTTTATTCTGTAGACGACTGTTGTCTTGGTGATTTAGATTGTACCAAAACTTAAACAAATCAAAGAGATCTTTTATAAGTAAAAAAAAGAAGGGCAAATTATCCATTTGACCCTTGAACTTTTAGTTTAAGTAAAATTAAGCCCCTTAACTATTTTTGGGCAACTTTTAGCCTTCAAACTTGTAAAATTGTGCACCCATGATCCTTTTGACAAGTTTATTTGGTTTTGCAACCTTTTTGACCTTTTTGCAACTGGAAAGCCAATTCACACGAATAGCAGTAATCTGAGTGGGAGGGCATTTTTGTCCGCATATTATAAACAAAAAGGGAACACCTTCTCCTTCTTTTTATTTCCTAACCTAATCTAACCGTTAACTTATTGAACAAACAAATTGCAGAGGGAAGAGAGAGAAGTCGGCAAAGAAACAAGAAAAAGGGAAGAAGGTAAAGTGAAGTGAAGGGAAGAAAAAATGCGCCAATATCGTAGTCCTGTGCTAGGGTTGCAAACGAGTCGAGTCGAGTCGAATTTTGGACTTATCGAGCCGAGTTCAACTTAAAAATAGGTGGGCTCGAGTTCGAGCTCGAGCTCGAGCTGGACGAGCTTAAAGAATTGACCTCGAGCTCGACTCGACTTAAAAAAACTAAACTCAAGCTCGACTCGATAAGGCTCGCGAGTTGAAGCTTGATTTCTGGCTCGCGAGCAGTTGAATTGTGAGCTCGATTTTTTGACTTGTTAGCAGCTCGAAAAGCTCGAATTTTTGAAATTAAATCTAACAAAAACATCATTTTATCAACTTATTCCTAACCGAATTTTGAGCATAATCATAACTTACCATTCATGGCTACAATTGACCATAATTTTTCACATGATCATAATCAAACAAGGCCTACAAATTTTTCACTAAATACAATCATAAATTTAGAAATACATGCCACATAAAAGTCTAGAATTTAAATGCCCAGCACTTCATACAAGTTCAACATTCTCGGTCACTAAGTTCAATATCAGAAAATAAGTAAATAACAACCAAAAGCTACAAAAACATATTGAACTACAAAGTACAAACTAAGCACAATCATTGAAGTCACGAACTTCTTCTCTTCCTCTGATCAGCAACAGAAACATATTGAACCTGGATAAGTTTGAAGTATTATGTGAGCCAATCTACAGAAACATATTTAAAAGCAAGTACATCAAAAGGAGCACAATCACATGAGCCAATCTGATTCAATTTAAATCAAGGTAGTAGCATATTCAATTTACATTAGAAGGAGTACATCAGTAGTAGCCAATCTGATGCAATTCGCTTAACTTGATAAAAAGCCTCTAAATGGCAAGGAAGAACATCTGCATCTGCATCAATTTTCTTTGTACTTGCATATTACAAACTAGTAGAGTGAGATTCAACTGAAACAAGCGCAACAAATTATCACTGTACTATACCATTAGGAATCTGAAAAAGAAAACAGAGCATCTCATAGTAAATCAAAAAAATAGACAAACTCATTTGTCATAGCCACTTGAGCTAAGATCTAGCAATTAAATTTGTTCTTTTGCAAAAGATAACAAACTGCCACTTTGTTAAATTATCAACCTTAAGAATTTCTTACAAGTTCAAACCTTAACCGTACTATGCAAGAAGCCAAACTCACGCCCAATAACAACATATGCCAATCATTCCATTATAAAACCATGCTCCTTTGACTACCACAGAATCCTAGTAAAGTAGGCCAACAAAGTTACCTTAAACATACAGGTGTTATCGGCAAGTTTCTTTTACACAAATAAGTACATATTCTACTTCACAAAAAGGGCCATATCATTTTTTCTTTTTTTTTTTTTGGCACAGCAAATAAGCAAATATTATCCAAGCCAAAGAAATCATGCAAAAGACTGGATACCATAAATGTCAATTCAACCAATGTTATCAAAATGAAATTTGAAAATTTAACCCAAAAAATTAGATTAGAAGTCAGAATTACCACAAGTGAAGCTGCGACCCAAATGAAATCCCAGATGCAACATAGGAATTAGCCGAACGCCGCACGACCCAAATGAAATCCCAAATCCCAGTCGTTAGCAGTCGTTAGCCGCCGATCCGTCTGAAAGGAAGAAGGACGGCTTGCAGCCCTAGTTAAGATGCGCCGAATACAACTGATCCGTCTGAAGGGAGGAAGTCGTTGATGGATCCGAATACAGCTGGGCCGAGGAGGAAGTCGAATTGCTTCGAAAGGAAGAAGGTTTCTCAGAATTCGTAACCCTGAAGAGTTAGATTTTTTATTGAGGCCTGAAGGGTGGCGGTGACGGTGGTGGCTGTGGTCAGTGTGGTACACTCGTGGCGGCGGTGGCTAGGGTTTGTTTGAGAAAGTGTGAAGGAAAGAAGAAAGAGAGATGCGGGAGCAGTGATTAAATTAGAGATGCGGGAGAGATGAAGGAAAGTGTGAAGATTAATAGGGGTATTTTTAGTAATTAGTTATATTAATAGGGGTATTTTTATAATTTCACAAAGCTCGTCGAGCCGCTCGACGAGCTAACGAGCCTAAGCTTATATGGCTCGAATTCGACTCGATTCATAAACGAGCCGCTCGAGTTCGACTCGAGCTCGAATTTGACCGAACTCGAGTCGAGCTTTGACTCGAGCGCTCGCGAGTGGCTCGCGAGCGGTTCGAGTCGTGTGCAGCCCTACATTGTACTTCTTATTTGTCCTTGCGGTAAAGTCACGAAAATGATTACTTCTTGGACTGATACTGATATAAATCCAGGGAGAAGATATGCCGTTTGCTCAGAAAAAGTTGGTGGTTGTGGGTATTGGAATTGGATTAACGACGAGATATGCCGTCATTCTATTGAATTGATACCAGGCCTTCTAAGGCGGATCAATGCAACAGAAAAGTAAAAAGAGGAATTTGAAACTACAGCAGCAAGATCCAAGACAAAAGCTGTCAAGTTGAAGGCAAAATTAAGAGAAACAGAGGAACGGATGTTTGCAAATCTTTGAATGTTGCCACTATTGAAGGGGACTGGAGCGGTCCTCAGAGCATCCTCTTGGACAAGTCAACTTGCAAGAGCTATGCCTCATGGTCTCTCTCAAAAGATCACCTTCAAGTTGGTGACATAGTGCATTCACGGAAGGCAGTTAATTCTTGTAGTACTCAGACAATGGCTGTAACAGAAGGAATTGTAGTTGGCTTGGAGAAGGACACTGATCAAGATGGATATGTTCTTGTGCGAATCCCTGGTTTGCCAAACCTTCTTAGGTTGAACGTTTCAACTCTTGAGAGGGTTACATTTGGATTTGCTACTGGGGATTGGGTCTGCTTGATTAAGGAAAACGAAGAACACTCATCTGTGCGTATTCTACATTTCATACAACGTGATGGAAATGTTGCTGTTGGTTTCTTAGGGCTACAAACTCTGTGGAAAGGACATCCTTCTGATCTCCAAATGGCAGAGCCGTATTTTGTGGGGCAGTTTGTGAGGTTGAAGGCAAGTATTGTGAATCCCAGCTTTGAGTGGCCTCGTAAAGGCAGAGGAATGTGGGCAACTGGATGAATCTCTCAAATACTTCCAAATGGGTGCCTCATTGTGAAATTTCCAGCAATACTTGTGATTGGGAGAGAATGTAAAAGTTTCTTGGCAGATCCAGCTGAAGTAGAGCTTGTCTCTTTCCATACATGTCCTGGAGTAGTGGAGAAGTACCAGCATGTTGAGGATTTTCACTGGGCTGTACGGCCTCTAGCAATTGCAGTTGGCTTGTATACAACAGTAAAAGTTGGAGTCTTTGTTGGTAGGAACGTAGGTGCAACATTCAAGAGCAAAGGCCATACGAATCAGTCACACAATGAAGGCCGTGGTCAAAATGGCCATGGAGATGGCAGTTTGGCACGCAGGCATTCAATTGCAAAAATCCTCTTTTAGGGTGGTTCCTCTGCTAGGCGCTTCATCACAACAGGGAGGAGTTATTCCCTTTTTGCTTAGAATATGTGGACAAAAATATCCTCTCACTCAGATTCCTGTCATTCGTGTGAATTAGCTTTCCGGTTGCAAAATGGTCAAAAGGGTTACAAAATTGAATAAGCTGGCCAAAAGAGTCACGGGTGCACAATTTTACAAGTTTGAGGGGTAAAAGTTGTCCAAAAATAGTTAAGGGGCTTAATTTTACTTAAACTAAAAGTTCAAGGACCAAACGGATAATTTGCCCAAAAAAGAAAATCAACAATTGAAATTTTTTTTTTTACTATGATGATGATAATTCCCGATTATCTTGGCTTCTTAAGAGCATGGGATATAAATTTTCCGATGATCTATCTTCAGGATATTCTGACGGCCTACTTCCTAAGATTATGAAATGAAGCTTCACTAGTTTTGACAATACATCATAGATCTGATAGTTTTCTGGTTAAATTTATTGGGACAGCATGAAATGCCCCTACCAAAATGCAAAGGTTAATCTACAATTTATGAGCGTCAGACTAGTCATGAAACTTGTTTAGTTAATAATCACTTTTTTGAGTTTCCACGTGTGCATTACGCCTGACTAAACCAGCTCAGCTTGCCATCACTTGTCCTAAGCAAAGGGAAAAATAAGTTCATCTAAGCTGGTTAACGAATTTAGGTCACTGTCTATACTTTTAGATTCCGTTGTAGATTGAGTTTACTAGGACTCAGCATTATAATAATCTTCATTTATTGGAAAAGCTGAAACAGTCACCGCCTTTGGGCAAAGTACTGGAAGCACAATCAGATTGCAAGGAAATAAAACAGGACTTTTGGAAAAGCTGAGACAGACAGTCAGTCACCATCTTTGAGCAAAGTACCGGAAGCGATACACATTGGCTTCTCTTGAACTTTTACCCCAAACGGCTGGTGGCAACTCTGAATACGAAAACACAGGCAGAATATTGCAAGGAAATAAAACAAGAGTTATGTATGATTCGTTCTGTTACATGAGAAGATCTCGTGGACCATTTGTCAGTTTCTTCATGGACTCGAGTCTGGGAGCCTTGTCAGCAAACTTAGTTTCAGCATAAATTTTCAGATATTCTTGAAAGGAGAAACCTCCGGGATACAAGAGCTTGGATGCTGGCGAAATTATGGCATCACCAGCAGGGTTGTAGAAGGTAGCAATGGAGAGTCTGCTTCCATTCTTGTCAGCCATTACACGATGCAAAGCACTCTTGTATATGCCATTACTCAGCACTTCCAGTTGGTCACCCGTGTTAACAAAGATTCTGTTGTTCTTTGATGGCGGGATCTCCACCCACTCTCCATCTTTGAAGAACTCTAGACCAGGGACTTCATCATCTTGGAGTAGGAGAATGATGCCACCAGCATCCGTGTGTTCTCGAAGCCCTCTCACCTGCTCCGGACGCGGACAACGAGGGTATTTTGCAACTTTAGTTCCCACGGAGGGACCTTTGCTCCCTGAAAATGCTTGCTTTATGAAGCTTTTCTCTAAACCAAGATTCTCAGACATGAGTTCTGAGAGGGTTTCAGCTAGCTTGATCAGTTGATCAATGTACTCGTCCATTGTTTTCCTGCATGCGAAATTCATTTGTAAGCAAAATTTTACGCAGTTTAAAAGTATAGCTAAAGTATTGTATTGAACATCATAATCAATAAATAGTTTTGCCGTTTGATATATAGTACTGCGGTTGCAAGATGCTGTTATCACTGAATGAAGTTCTAAAGTAAAGCCTCGTCATTGATAGTTGAAAGCTTGAAGTATGTTGTGACGAGCACTTACTGAAAGTCCATCGGGAGATTTGCAAACTGGTTGATGTTGGACACTGGTCGATGCCAGATGAAGAAGGCACTTTCCCAGTCAATATTTCTCGTAATTTCTTTATCCACCAAGCTCTTTGCCACATCCGAGTTATAAAACCTACCCTTCATGTTCTGTTCATAGTGTTGGTTCACCAATGCCTTCACTTTCACCATCAACTCTACATCAATGCTATGGTTCTCAATCTGCAAAAGTTCAAATTGAAATTTTCATTTTGGACAAGAGTTTCACGTACGTGATCAGATATAAAATGAAATAACGTGTTACCATAAAGAAGCCCCATTTCTCACAAGCTTGGTGCAGAAGGGACAAGGTTTCCTTCCTGCTCTCCCCCTCAATCTTCTTGAAGTCAATGACAGGAATTTCCATCTCTGCCTTCTCTCGTTCGGGATGGCTAAGATGCGCAACTTGGTGCGGTATATATAGGGACGGAGCAAAGAGGTTGGAATTCAACTCTATGTTGTTATTATATTCTGCACAAGGAAACAGGAGTTAGATTTGTAAGCAATGGTAGTTGCAGTTAAGCCATACCTCAAAGAAGGGAGAATTATAGGGATTAGGGGTGGTGCATTGGAAAGAACGTTTGGCCAAATTCAGTTAACCGCCAACCATGTGATTGGAATAATTTTGTAACCTTTGACTTCCAGTTAACTGCTCTCTCCCTCTCACACACCAAGATTTGCTTTCATCATTTAAAACCAAGAATTCACTCTTGCTTGCTTCTCTCTATTATATTTATCCCACCCATGTGACCCTTTGCGACTCTCTATTTCTGTTTGTAATCTACTACTAATTGTGATCTAGGACTTTAAATACTAGCAGTACATGCTTTGAGAAACCTTACTCTGATTGGAAGTTCCTTGGATTCTAATTCATCAGCATTGCGGAAAACCAGGGGCAGTAATGGCTTCAGGCGGCGTCAAGTGGAAAGGGAACCGCCCCAGCCTCAGCCTTCCAATGGGCGGTTCTGGCATGAGGTACCTGGGATTCCCTTTTTCTATCGTTGACTGATTGCTATATATCCTGGTCTTTCACGTTACATGTTCGAGACAAAAACTAGTGCTGGCAGATTTTTCAATTATTCAGCTAGCGCAAGTGTGGAACATAGTCATTGTTCATTCATCCATAGGTTAGGTTTGGAGTTTGGACGACAACGACCAGGGAGTCATAGTGAAACGCCAACAAGTCATTTTTTTCATTAATGTGGCTTTGTAGACTTTTCAGGTAAAACCGTGTTATTATGATCCAAGGGAGGAATGCATGAAATCTTTAGGAAATTGTTTCCACGGAATATTCTCGCAACGCATTTTCTGTCCCACACTCTGTGCCACTTTTTATTATATTACTATTTCTCCTACATAAACATCACGTTTTAGTTCCTTTTTGTTTTCTTAAAATCCAATAACTATTAATTGAGTAAAATATAAATACAGTAGCTTAAAAAAAGCAATATATAATAGAAAATTAAAAAACATAGCAGAAAATTCATAAAAAATCTCATTTTTTTATGCATTTTAGTTTTTTGAGTTTGTTAAATTTTATGTATTACTCAATTAATAGTTATTGGATCTTAATAAAATAAAAAAGAACTAAAATGTGATATTTATGTAGGAGAAATAGCAATATAATAATAAAAAATGAGACAGAAAATGACA